TGGTGAGTACTTACTCTGTTAATTCATGGAATGCTCAAACTGAGCTATGGATAAAGAAGTTGCAGAAACCTCATCTTGGTGCATGTAAGTACCTTTGATCTCGGTCTCCAGCTGACTGTCAAATTAATTTGTTCTTAATAGGCTGTAGCTCAAAGACTGCATGAGCTTCAATAGTGAGGGATGGGGAGGTCATCTGGACAACTTACTCAAGTCAGGACATGTAAGTAGAATCTCGATGTTCGGCTGTTTGTCAGATTGATTCATTTGTCGTCAGGTTGCTTTGTTTTCGAAGATCCAAGGCAAGCACTTGTGCAAGGAATTATCATACTCATAACGAATCATGACAGGAAAGACTGCATAAGCTTTCATAGGCCTGTAATGATTTGGAGGGAATCACAACTTACTCGAGTCAGTACATGTAAGTACTTGAATGAATTTCGATGTCCGGCAGCTTGTCAGATCAATTTGTTTTTCGTGAGGTTTGTTTTCAGCAACCAGGGCAATATTTCATGGAACGTGCAAGATTATAATGAAGTGCAGCAGGAATTGCAAGTTAGTACTTACTTACTTAGAGTTGTACTTCGGCTGACATCGGTGTTCATCAGATAGAATCGTTGGTCCTAGCCTTGAAGTGTCGCTCACACATTTACCGCAGGAATTCAAGGTGCTTTTGTTGTATTGCACAATTCGAGCAACATTTATTTAAGAGATTCCTAGGTGCCCAAGATACACAGTAAGGCCAAAATTGTCGCAAACGATTCGATATGACGATTGGTTCATCTGACTAACATCAAGGTACCAATGTAAAGGGCTTGTTTCGCTTCGCCTCAACCTCTACCATCATCACCATGCCTGCGCACAAACTTACAAGACGGCTGCAGAAAAAAATGCCGCTAAGAAGGCCAATTACCAAAGGTATTATGAAAAGTAAGCAAGCCTTGGATTTCATTGCTTTATTGAGCTAACCATTGCCCATAGACACAAGGAGTCCATCAATGAGTGCGTCGCAGTCAATACAATAACCAAACGGTGAAGTACTCAAAATGCAGTGCGTATCTCATACTCTCTAACATCTGATCAGTGCTAACTTCTATTTAGGCTCAAATCAGGGAAGGGACGATTACAAGGATGCTTCACCTCCAGGACGATTAACTCACCGGTACGTTTTTCATATCTCCTCTGCTTCTCATCAGCTTTAAGACGTGTTCTCCAGGCAAAAATCGACAAAGGACAGTGACTCCAAAAGATAATCCCGAAAAAGACCTGCAAAGAACAAAGGGTTGCGTCGTTCTCTTTCTCTTCTTACTCCGTTCTCTGATTGAATGTCAATAGTCATAAAAAGTCAGGCACTATGCAGAAATCTGACGGTACATCCAAATTGGAGAAACCAGCGTACGTTATTCATCCTCACTACTCAAGCTCAGCCTGGATTAATCAGTCTGTAGTGGTTTTGCTTCCTCGAAAGACAGCCCTGCAGCTCGATCCAAGATTCCAGGTCCCCCGATAAAAGCGACCGAGACTCTTACCTTACAGCCCGCACTCCCAACTCAGACTCCTCAAGCATCAGTTGCTCCTTGTTCATTGCATACACAATCTCCTCCTCACGTTGCCCAGTATCATCCAGATACGTATGAGCGGACCTTAGGCCTACAACTTGCTAAGCAGAGCCTTGAAGCCTACTACGACAGCTACGTCAAAGGCTTGGGTGGTAACTGGACACATTTTTTCAATTGCCTCTCCAATTCGTTTATCAAGACCGGTAACCCAGATGAGATCGACAAAGCATTCGATGATAACAAGCGATCGGAGATTTGCCTTGCAAAAAGATTCAGAAAAGCTGCAGGAGGAGGCTATCATGTGTTAGCTGATTATGAAGCGAATAAAGGAAGGGCACGGGATGGTGGAGCGTGTGAAGGAAGTCAGTGAAAAGCTCCATGAATTCTATATCGGCAAATATGCATCGGAAGCAAAGATTTCAAGGAGCGGAGTGGAAAATGGAGATCTGAAGTGGTAGTTCATGTGGCTTAACTAGATGCAAGGTATAGATTGGAAATTATGTATCGTGTCAGTACGTGTGCAAGTGAACCAGAATCATCGAATGCTGGAGGCAAAGATGTATAACGGACAGTCTGATGATCATTCGTTTACTATAGACAGGTAGACGGCTATACATAATTGATGGATAGTAGAGCTCATAGACTGAGGCATACAACAAGGTATATGACATGGTCGTGGACTGCATTGAGCGATGCTGGCTAAAATTTCAGAAGGAATTTACTTCGCAAGGCAGAGAACTAACCAACTGGCTTTTGCTGCCTGAGGACGGAAAATTCAGACCGCTGTTAATACAGCTGTGATAGTAAGATCATCGTCTGAGTGACTGGAGTTGAGCGTATCAAATTTGAACTGAACACAGACTAGCGTACCTGATGGAGGAAGTTGTTGGAGGAACCGTCGGTACGCCTCTTCGAAATCACTAGGTATAACACTTTTGCAGCAAACCTGTTGTATTTTCAAGCACGCTTCAGCGTCATATTCTGGCGGTGAATGAGGAAGAATGTTGCGACTGGTGGTCAATATTGCGGTGATTTGAAAGTCGCCACCTGCCAAATGCAGATGTATAGTGAACAAGCGAGTGGTAGACGGCTTGAGAATGATTCAGACCTGAGTACACGACCCTCTCAAGAAAATCTTCAACTACAACCTCCAGTGCAGCACGGATGATGTTTTCACAGCGGAAGAGAGGCATGGTACTGCAGAGTCGTTGTTCAAAGGAAGGTTCAAACGAGAACTAGCGCCATGACTTACGCTTATGTACTTGGATCAATGTACTCATTAGATTGAGACAAAGTCCACATTTGAATGGCGAATGATGTGGAATGAGACAAAGTCCACATTTGATTGGTACATGATACGTTGTGACTCAAGATTGGCTCAATAGTTCAGCTGCAAGCATCATGGTTATATTCCCGTTTTAAAGCAAGAGAGCGACATGATTCTGAGCTATAGTTACGAGCTATTGTACGAGTACATTTGGTACTGTAATTCGACGTAGGCAAACAGGAGTATTATACATTCACGATCCGAACAACAGCCTGTATTACAGCGTGATGGTAGGCCTGCAGGGCTGCAGCTTGAGAGGGATATCGCTTGAAGCAGGCACCCGAGACCCCCATGACCTGTGCCTGTACAAACGCACTATAAAACGAAAGGTACTAGGGGCTTAGTGTGGTTTGAGACGCGATCAGAAAAGACTCACAGGTCACTAAATACCCCGACCGACTTTCCAACAGTAATCGTGTAATGCGTATCACTGCTCGGAACAGCATTGACAGTGCCGCATGTCGAGCAAACAACACTAGAAGAATCTATTGCTTGTTAGCATAAGCTGAGGGTCGAAACGTGAAGGGAAAACGTACCACTGGCAGTCGCTCCTGGAGTAGTAGCAGTTGCTTGACCGACAGAGTTACGATTGGGTACTGTGATGTTGGAGCTAGAAGGCGCAGCAACGAGAGACGCTTTAGATAACTACTAGTCAGCTGGAAGCATCCACCGAAATCATGGCACGTACTCACCCTGCTGACCTTGTACGGAAGCCACTTTCTGAAGCCGAATGGTCTGAAGCTGTTCGGGGCTCAGAAATTCGCGAAGCTCGTTGGCGGTGAATTCTGGTTCGAAGGAGAGAGAGTTCGTTGTTTTGGACCATGGTAATGCGTGGATGAGGTTTCTTTTTGAAAGACGTACGGTCTTATATGCATGCCCCCGAAAAAGATGTGTCCAATTTCGAGCTGTCCTATTTAGTCGTGTCCAGTCCTGAGTTGTCTGATTTCAATCAGAGACATTCGTTGTGTCCCATTCCTCGTGGCGATGTCTCAATACGTGTGTCTAATTTTGAGTTGTCCTATTTGTCGTGTCCAGTCTTCCTATCCATCGTGTCCCATTTCTCGTTGTGTCCCATTCCTCTGTTGTGTCCCATTCCTCGTGGCGTCCCATTCCATCGCTCCTCTGAGTTTGATAGTATAATGAGCTCGATTCTCTTGTAACAAATCATAGAGGTTTCTAATGAATCCGTCCATCCTCAGCAAGCTGTTTTGCATATATTTTGAACGATATCCCCCACAGGCAGTTACCAATGACGAGCTTGGAGATACAAGGGGATTTTCGGCCGAGACGATTGCTGATGTTAGATGGTATAAGGAGAAGCTGATTATCGAGAGAACGAAAGAGGTGAGAGCTTTATTAGGTGGGCAAAGGTATTTACTGAGCCTGTATGAATGTAGACTTTAGAAGCATGGCTGTCGAGCATGGAAGAAATCACAGACGTTGAAGCCCTAGCCCAAGTAATGCCCAAGTTCGATGTCCTTCCTGCTCTTGACTCCGATCTGCGAGACTGGGTAATAGAGGTGGTGAACTTCATAGCCAATCTGCCGCAGTCTCCCCAAGATCCTGAAACAATGGTCTTCAAACCGCTCTTGTCGGATGCATATTCGATGACTTTTCACCATAGTGGATCCTTCAGCTCGGAGGGGGGTACAGATGACGAAGGCTCAACTGTCTCAGAATCAAATGGGGTTCCGGATAAGAGTTGAACTCACCAGCACTTCCACCATTGCCACCAATGAAACAACGTCGTTCAAAGACAGGAAATCCCGCTCTGAAGTTGGTTAAACATGAAGTTGGAGATAACAGAGAGCAAGCAAGGGGAGCGTTCCAGTCTCCGGAAACGCGTTAGAACCTACCGTGGAGAGGTTGAGACTCTAAGCAAACAGAGAATACAAAAGAGGTTGAAGGAAGGTCTGCAGATAGTTGTTGATGGAGAATCCCTTAGCTAGCACAAGTTGTCCGAGTCCATGCGATGGTATACGCTCGAGAGTAATGCAAAGAAAATTCCATATTAGTGTGGAGTACAACAAGCCCTCACAAGTTGTCCATGCGACGGTATAGTTGCAAAAAAAAGTGATGATTTAAGACAAGTTGACGGTGATAAAAAATCTAATGTATGGCGCTGGCGAGATTTGAACTCGCAGCTAGACTAGAAAATCGCACAGGAGAAAGAATTAATAATCAAGTCTAAGGTTAACCGCTACCCCACAGCGCCATATTTATTAAGTATTATTTATGAATAATCACTCCTCGAGGATTGATGGAGTGAAACTCTACAAGTATAATAATTCAACAACGGGCAAGTATTGCATTCACATTCACAGCAGTATTACTACAACGGGTCAACACTAGGTACTGAGATATCCTCCTCATCCCACGAGGTCCAGCACCATGTCCACCATTGAGGAAAAAACGACTCGTTTGAGAATATCTCGGCAACAGGGTTACTTCGGTGAGCCCATCGTCGAGCAGGCAGCAGACATCTCCGTTGACAAATGCTCGCATGTAGCAGATACACGCTTCGCGATAGGAACGATGGAATGAGTATATAGCACCAAGAATTTGGACATGTTTTGAGGTGGATTGCCTATCTTGATTGAGCAAAGTATTGCATGAAAGCCTGTGAACACACTCACCAAGATTCGAAGTATCCTACTTTCAGCCCTTGAATGACAGCCACTGCACATGTGGTAGAACCTTGAGGCTCAATGATATCCTGTACAGATGTCAGGCAAAGTGTCGCTTTGGCTCCAGTCTAGTACGTACATTGAATTCAACCACCCTAATCATAGGGTATCCAGTGATTCCAGAGGTTTTCCCTACGATGGACCTCTCGGCAGGATGCAAGGCAGGCTACTTCAGTTAGTGGTGAAGTATGATCAGGATTAAGGCTTGTAACTTACAATAAGTTCCGGGCAATCTTGCAGATGGTATTCAAAGTTGCGGCGGTGCTTCTGAACATAGGCCTTGATCGAGGTGTTACTTTCAGATCCAGAGTACGAGTCGCTATCGGATCAGAGTCCGAATCGCTACCAAATCCAGAGTCCGAGTCGCTATGAGAGCTAGCATCTGAGTTTTTGTTGGAGCCAGGGTGCTTGGCATCGAACGCTGAAGTGAGAGCAGACGCGGAAGTGCTGTGTCGCTGCATTGGATGGTGTAGTACAGAGAGGAGGGGATTTTATTATGCCCGTTCTATATGTGAAACCCACTTTAATGACGAGGAGCCTATTTTGATGTGACGAGGAGCCCATTTTAAAGCGACGAGGAGCCAGCCCATTTGAAAGCAACAAGGAGCCCATTTGAAAGCGACAAGGAGCCCATTCTAATACGACGAGGAGCCCATTTTGAAGCGACAAGGAGCCCATCTGAAAGCGACAAGGAGCCCATTCTAATACAAGAGGAGCCCATTCGAAAGCAATAAGGAGCCCATTTTAATGCAACGAGGAGCCCATTTGAGAGCGGACTGGCTGGATGAGTTACCGGGGATAATGTAATGGGGTGGGACGGTAAATTACGGGGGCCAATTTATTAGGCTTACATGGTCTCCTGAAATATGCCATAATAGATTCGCCTAGTAAATCAACGTTCACTAAGTAAAGTTCATAAGCGTGGGAAAAAATAAGTTAACTTGATTGAATTGAAATAAGTTAAATAAGTTAGCAAAATAAGTTACTTTGCTCTCACTCGGCTAATCCTCTCAACAACCATAGGCTAATCCTCTCAACGAGGTCAAGCTCAAAAGGGACAGGAAATACTCACCTTATTCAGTCCGCCACAACTCTCCAGATGAAACTGTGGACAGGAATCAGGATTGAGCTCAAAAGGGACAGGAAATACTCACCTCAACCTGGTTCAGTCTGAAATGATTCAGACAAAAGGATCAGTGCTGGAAACACCTCCTGAGATACTAATCCACCAAGTGGGCTGACCATAGTTAAGTGGCTAACTAGCATGTGCAAGACAGGACAAGCCTGGTATATCATGTGCAGCTAGATATTTGAGATGAGAAGGGGGAACAGTCGGCAGAGAAAAAGGCAATGCACTTGGCAGGAAAGATTGATGCAACATAAAATACACTGAAATTGGGCAAAGTGCTTGGGCAAATCCATGAATTACATGCCGTGCATCAGTAGAAAGAGCTGGATGCATTTTTGTTAGAATACAAAAAAAATCCAAACAGATGAGACATACTTACCTGCAAGCCATGTCATTAATAGCAGCCTTGATACAAAAGATATGTTGACTCGGAGGCGGTCCTGAGGCAAGAGCGCAATGAATATGTATGAAACCAAAAGTACCTCAGCCTAACATAAGCAACACTGCTCCATAGATAGTGAAAAGCATGATTGCTCTGACAGAGTGAAAGGAGACGAATGTAAAAACAAATGATGTGGCGATTCACGTGAATGAACTATACAGTTGTGACTTGTTGGAGTTTGAACCAACTTGGAAGATTTTTTTGTTTTGTTGTCTACTGCACAACAACTTGTATTCAACTGTGTACTTGGTGATTTTTTTCTTCACTATAATCAATAATTGCAACAATTAGCTTGCATCACAGCCTATTGGCATAGCAGTCCCGATAAATCAATAGAAGTTGTTGACGCAACCGTGACAATGTGTAAGACTCAGATCATCGCTTGGAAGGAGATAATGGGCAGGAATGATGTGGATACTGTAGGTGTGGATTCTCTGGGAACAAGTTAAGCATAGTCTGGTATAAGTAACTGAAAGTTGTATATGCTCCGAGTCTAGTATTGGCTCAGTATAACTGTGTATAAAAGATGTATGAAATCGGTATAATGATCATACGGCCGACGTAATTAAAAGAAATTCCGCTGGGCTGTGATTGGGTATGATTGTGCATATTGATTATATCAATCTACCGATCATACGGAATACGATCCGGCGGTTTTGCTGATGTATAAGGAACATATTTGCCAGAGAAACGGAATATGAGATTGAAGAAACTGAAGACATTGATAGAGCATTAACTGTTGCGAGATGTAAGTGTAATACGGATCACTGGTGGACAGCTTACGGTATTTGTAGCATACTTTTGACATTTCTCAAGGCAGAGAGAACACAATCGGCTGTGCCACAGTGGAGTTTTGGAGTAAAATCTTGGTCGGTTTTGGTTTGGTTGTAAACAAGATCACTAACGAGCGTTTTACGAAAAGTATGCTACAAATACCTAAACAGCTGTATTACATTGTTACAACCATCTACCTCAAGAGATGACGAAGATTCCGATCGGTAATATAGTCTCACGCTAGGTGAGGGTATCAAAAACTTGAAAAAGGAAGGAGTCCAGCCCAGGGTCCATCGGCAATAGACAAGTTGTCGTTATGTATACCACAATATTCTGAGAGCTCGTCACATAGTGCAATCATCTATTTGAGCTTGAACGCACCAGCTGCTAGCTTTGAAAAGAGCAAATGAGTACTATATGAAGGAAATACTGATAGTACAGGCGCTAAATTATACTAACGGCAAATCTCTTGCTGGTAGACCCTGGGCTGAACTCCTTCCTTTTTGATACCCTCACCGATCGGAATCTTTGTCACCTCTCTACCTGCCTTGATCAAAGCTGTGGCTATAATGCAGAAGGTCCTTTATAATCGGTGCACTTTGCTACTTTCCTTGGATCGCTGCCCTCATCGCGACAATCTATCCAAGTCTAAAGCAGAGAATGGAGTCGGCTCCTACGATTTACGCACTTCCTCGAATAGTAATATTAATGGTGCGTCTTCAACTTTCCCCGCTCGATAGCATGCTAAAAAGAAGTTTACAGGCGGAATGTATATTATACGGTAACCATTGGTTGCAGCACCGTCCATCCCATTTCATTCTCAATCTTTCCTTTCAAGGGGCTTACACTGTACTTTTCGGCCTCGCCATGTGGATCTTACCTCGGAAGTTCCACATTCCTTCTATAAAAAAGTTCATCTTTCCAGCGATTATAGTTCTGTTCGTTCTTGTAACAATGAACATAGCCTATGATCTTGTTGGCGAAGCGTATGCAATAATGTATACTATTCCAGTGGTAGAAAAGCCATGGTTGATTGTTGGGCAGTAAGTCACCGTATATGCAGAAAAAAATTTACAATGACAACTCACAGGTCTATCGATTCGATCACCTTCGTATTTGCAGAGTGAGTGCATTTTGCGAAGAGCTTGAAATATAATTGCTGACTGCGATTTACTATCCAGCATTTTGGGTGATTTAGTTCTGGTACGACGCTTCTCTGCTTGTTTCCTGTATCTTCCCTTACCCTTATGTAGCTTTACCGTGTGTATGCAGTTTGGGGATCTCGGAAAAGAGTGCTCTTCCCTATGCTCTTGCTAATGGGTTCAGCGAAAGGTTTGCATGAGTTTTGCATTTGCAGTTTTTCCGCTTTGGATATTCAGCTAAGCACATTCTTCTCAGTACTTGGTATTCTTGCCGCAATTGCTGGGATACATCAGCTCTTCAATGTACCTCAAACTGGGTTTTTCGATTATCGAGGTCCCGGCGCCGGCTCACTAGCTTGGCCTAACCTCTTCGAGATCGTGAATGCCATCTCAAATATGTTAATGACTCTTATGATTGGTATGTAACACCACCTTTTCGAAGTTTTGGCGCTACATCCTCAATATATATATCCAACTGCTTAAACCAGCTGGTCGAGTGTGGTGGATATCAAGGTCTCTCCAGAAGGAACTGAAATCTGGAGTGCATCCGTCTCATTGGTATCGTAGGACTTTGGCCGTGGTGTGCGTTAGTTTAAGTTTCATTGCTTTCAGTGAATACTTTCTGATTTCTTTGATAATTTTATCAGTACAGAGTCTGGTGTGATATATCCAGTATACCTCACAATAGAAGTAGTAGTGTCAGCGTCACCCGTACCATTCAACATCCCAAATTATGTTGACATGGGAATTGTCATTGTTGTAAGTCCATGCTCACTGTGGCCATGAAATAATCTCATTTTCTTCGGAAAAAATCGCAGGGTCTTGCACCTACTCTCATTGCCGTGCGAGTGGGATTAGGTAGCGCAGTTGATGATCAGTCACTACGCTCAAGTATCCTTCAGTCGCAATTACTATTTGCGACACGACCCCGAAGCCTCTCTGCGCCTGTCCTTGATATAGCTCCAGTCGGGGACGAGTATTCAGCTAGGTCGTCAATTCCTGATCTCGGACGGGATGTAGAAAAGGGACTGCGTGAAGTTG